AGCCTCCTGTGTACGCTGGTGACAAGGCTGTGCGGCGTGCTCTGCGCAACTCGGCGCCTCCTCGAGAGCCTCAAGCTGACACGCTCTCCTCACTCTGCCTGCTCTCCCGGCTTGCCTCCCTTCTTTCGCAGCTCATGGCACTCGCCTTGTGTGTGTAGAGGTACGCCCTTCTCTCCCTTGCGGCTGTCCTCCCTCAACCCAAGCTGACGCACGTGTCGCGTTGCTGCTCGCCACCTCAACTCGCTCGATGTCCCCCTCTGCTCGTTCTCTCTGGGTGCAGACTTGACAGCTGATCACTGCACTGTGCGTCATTTTTTGCTCAACTAGACGGTAGCATGCCCTCAACGGTGCCATGGTACACGGGGTGGAGGCAAGGCAAGGGGGACTTGAGAGGCACGAAGCGCGGGGAGGCGGTGAGGAGGTGGCAGTGGTGTGGCGCGAGGTTGAGGGGGGGAGTGGGTCGAGCAGTAGTCAACAAGGGATGGAAGAGGGTGGTCCAAGCAGCGGTTGAAGAGCCCCTCTTCGATACCCTGGCTGAACAGAGCTGGAAGCGGGCTGGTCAAAGCAACCCTGCCTGGTGAGAAGTCAAAGTGGGCCTGTTTATGCCCTGTCTGAGCACTGGTCAAAGAGCAGTTGATGAGGGCGCGACCAAGGGGCGGCCAAGGTGGGCGGGGGCCGTCGAACAGGCCTGGTGTAAGCCCCGTGGGCTCACGATGGCAGGACCGCGGAGATACGGGGATCGATGTACGGACGGACGTGATCGATGGACGGACGGACGCCGCGGACGGACGGTCGGAGGGCGCGCGCGCGAGCCAGACCTGGGTTCCTCTCCTCACGCTCACGCACGGAGACGACCCAGGTACACCGCTCTCTGTAGCTCTTGTGCTTCCTTACGCTCACGCACGGAGACGACCCAGGCAACGCACACACCTTGGGCCACTTTTCCAACGTGTCGGGCAAGTGTTAGGACGACCCCCAGTCGCCCTTTCCACTTGCCTGGTCAACCCCGGTTCAATTGCTGGTTGAACCAGGGTGGCCAAACAGCGCCCCTTTGATTGGCACATCGAAGTGGCTTTGATCCAACCTTTGGTGAGCAGTGCTCGAACAGGGATCGAACAGCCCCTCAATTCCGCCCGTCCGCTCCGCTTGACGGTCTCCCTGTACAATGCTTGTATATTTAAACAAAGCAGGCTGAACTTGAGCCAGGGAAACAGCAAAGTCCAGATTCTCTCATGGGAGGGGATAGTTGAGTAGACAAGGAGGAAACACAATGTGTGCAGCCTTTGCTCCCAGAGAGCTGGTTGTGGCTGAAGGTGAGGAGAAGAGGAGGTCCCACCCCAGAGTCCCAAGCTGCCACAGGTCTGGTTCAGCATCTCTTGCAGACAAACCGTCACACCGGTCGGCCTTCTGCGGCGACCCGCTGAGAGGCCTGTGCTGACGTTCGTCAGGCGACAACGTCTCGGCTTGATTAAATGACATATGATGCGTGCTACCACCTGCAAGTTCGCACATAGGCCAGGTGGTGTAGTTGGTTAGCACTGCGGTTTTTGATCGAGATTTACCGCCGACCTGGGTTCGAGTCCCGGCCAGGCCTTTCATTTTTTGCGCCGCCTTCAATGCTGTGAAGGCGGCATCCGACGTCACAAGCTGCGGCGTGTCAGAGCCGGCATAGGGCGACCGTGAGCGCCGATATGTAGGCGAGCTGAGAAGATCGATCAGCAAGGTGGGAAGGTCCGCACATGCTTCGAGCTTCTCGACCCGGCCTTTTCCTCACTGAAGGTGTCATTCTGACCACCTGGGATTGTCTCTGCCCTCAAGAGTCAACACCCTCACTCAGGTCACAACACAGCTTGCAGCCACCAACAACTCCAACTTCTAGCCCCTCTTGCGCCGCTTGCGCCCCCTCAACGCTCCCACCGCTGTCAACCCTCCGGTGCGCACCACGGCCGTGCGCTGAGAGGAGGTCAAAGAGACCTGAGTGCGTGTGTGCTTCTCAGTGAGCTCCTTGCTGCCCTGGGAATATCAGAGCACGAGAAGGCCTTTGGAATATCAAAGCAGACAAGCAGGGATAGGAGCCCGGCCGGCCCTGCACCAGACGAGGCACCGTGCGCGCCCGCAGCGCCTTCTTGCCGCTGTGCCTCATGCGTGCTGCTTGGTGCTCTTTGATCTGGCTCAGTCAGACAGACCTGTACAGAGAGGCGCCCTTGAATGCCCTGCTGTCAGAATCTTTGCATCAGACCAGCAGCGGCCTGCGGTCTCCGAGGTGCTGGAGCACCTCAGACTGCCTGCTGGACCCAGCGTCACAAAGCAATCAGCAGGCTGTGAAAGACTGCCAGAAATCCTCACACTAGAGAGTCAAGAGCGCAGGTCGCTGGGCATGCAAGGAGCTGGCGAGCCACAGAGTGTGAGTTGAGCGTGACGAGCCTCGCGCGAAGCCAGAGAGAGGCCAGTGCGCCTCGCTCGCACCGTGGACTCTCGCAGCTCTCTCTCTGCCACAAAAAGGTGCAGGCTAGGCAAATCACAAACAAAGCGAGATTGCACAGATCATGTCCTCAAGCGCAGGCTACCAAGCACGGTCTCCCTCCTTTCCCCCTCGTCCTGACCACCTCGCTCCTCCGGCGCCAATCAGCTGCCCTGCCGAAGCACGGAGCTCTCTCACATGCCCGTCGTCATGTGCTGCGGGGGCGGGCCGCCGAGCTCCGGGCCGGGGCCCATGCGAGCCGGGCTGCCACCCATGTCGGGAGCGGTCGTCGTCGACGCGCCGGCGCTCGTGATGCGTTGCGCCTGGCTCATGTCGCCGCGGCCGGGCCCGTAGCCACCGTCGAGGTCCGAGGCAACGTCCGTGTACTTGCCCGAGTGCTGCACGGGCAAGCGCGAATGGGTGGGTCAGTGCGTGCGCGCGACGAGGGAGAAGAAAGGAGAGCGAGCAACGCACGAAGCCAAAGCGCGAGTAGTCGAGACCCTCGACTCCGAAGAGGAAGGCGAACAGCCAGCACACCTTGACGAGGAAGTCGAGGACACCGTCCTGCGTGGGTGAACGGCGAGAGAGTCAGGACGACAGCGAGCACGACCGGCCAGCAGGCGCCGCCTCCTTGTCTGACGAGGAGATCTCGACGCACCCAGAACATCTCACTCGAGACAGTGATGACGTTGCTGCCCTGCAAGGAGGGGAGGTGAGGGGCACGGTGAGCACCGTGCAACTCGACGCGCGCGGCGAGAGGCGACGGCAGCACCCACCTCGGCAAGGCCCCAGACGAGCGGCTGGGTAAAAAAGGCAGCGTCAGTGCACGCGAGCAGGCAGAGCGGAGGAGTGCGGGCGTCACGCACGTAGAGGATGAAGAGGAACGACAGGCCCCACGCGTGGCCGATGTGGTTGCGGCGGTACTCGCGGCCGAGCGTCCTCGCCGAACGACCCGCGGGGAAGATGATGCTCCACAGCACGTCTGTGAGGTGAAGGCGTGGTGGAGCAAGTCAGCGAGAGGCCCGCAGGCGACGTGGGCTCGAGGAAGGCGAGGGCACACGCACAGAGGAGCGCCGTGGTCGAGAAGGCGTAGAATGCCCACTTGTACACGGTCGGGATGAGGGCGCCGATGAGGGCACACACGCTGCAGAGGGGCAGGCCCGACGGCTTGGTCAACGGCGGCCGACTCGAGCGAGGAAGGAGGCGGAGGAAGAGACTCACGTCCACAGCACGGTAAAGAAGAGCGCGAGGAAGATGCGCGAGAGGTTGAAGCCCGTGCCGAGGAGGAGCATGAGGACGAGGATCGGCATCGTGAGCGTGTAGCCGACCCACTGCGGCAAGGGACGATGGTGCGAAGAGAGAGGGAGGAGAGGGGCCGGATCAGCTTGCACGCCCGGAGGCCGGCAGCTTCCTCCACGCAGAGGCCAGGAGCACACCTTGGCGTAGAAGATGGACCTCGTCGGCGGGATGGGCGCCCCTCCGGCCACCTGGAACGCGCCGCGCGAGCCCGAACGAATCCACTCGACGGGCACGCTCGCGTAGCCGAGGTTGCTTGCCTGGGCGGCGTAGTGGACGGCCGTAATGGCGAGGACAGCAATGCCGAGGTAGTGGAAGGCGCGGTGGTGGACAGGGCGCGAGTGGGCGAGGCCAAGGAGGACCAGGAGCGACAAGGTAAAGATGCCAAACAGCGCCCACAGCCAGTTGGACCCGGCAGGCGACAGTCCGATGTTGGACTGGACCTGTTTGGGAGCCCAGTCTGTCAGTGGAGGGCTCGGAGGAGGCGGTCTGGGCGCTCCGGACGCACGGGGTTGGTGTCGAGAGACGAGGTGTAGCCCATCTCGAGAAGGCGTTGCTCCGGGGGTAGGAGCTAGTGATCAAGTGAGAGAAGAGGAGAGAGGGGGGCGAGTGAGAGGAAGGAAGGAGAGAGGCGAGAGAGCGAGCGAGGCAAAGCGGGAGAGGGGAGAGGCGCGAGCCCCCTTCCCCCTCCCCCCCCCCACCTCCCTCCCAACTTGGCTCGCTGCTCCCTCACCTCCTCCTCCTCGTCCCGCTCAATCGGGCTACTCAGAGCCACTCGTCACGGGTCCTGCCAGCGCGTCCACATGCTCGGAACCGGGCGCGAGGCCGCGCGACAGTGGCCCTCTCCTGTCTTCCGTCCCCCGCCCGATGACGGCCCGCTGCGGGCGACGAGGTGCGTGCGCCCCGCCCGCGGCCTCACCTCGCAAGCAACCGCCCTCCCGCCCCTCCCCTCTCAGGAAGAGGCACACGCACCACGAGCTCGCAGAGAAGACAAGGCCGAGGACGGGACACAGCACTTGGAAGCACGCCGCAGCAGGATGAGGCTGGTCGGGCCGCGATCGACCGACGCGGGAGAGAGGGCGACTCGCACCGCGGGAAGCGGCGGCCCTCGGCGAAGGACAACCACTGGGCTCGACGAGTGTGTAGGGACTTCTCTGCGCCGTGTCAGGTGTCAATGGGAGCACACTTGCGTCAGCTCCGCGGCGCAACGGGGCCAAGCGGGGTCAGGGAGAGTTTCGCGAGCGGGCGCACCTCGACGTCATGGGGGCGACTCAGAGTGGGCATGCAAGGCGCACGTCAGCCTGGCTGCACGTTTCGAGTCGCAAGCTGTGGTCAGACGAGCTGGGACGAGGGCGCTGGGGCAGGGAGAGGCGCCGGTTGCGAGCCAGGTGGGGAAAGTCGAGCGTCTCGAGCTCGCTCGCGCTTGTCACCCAGAGGAAGAGGGGGAAGAGGGGGGGGTGCAAATCTAAGTTGCAGCGCGCGATAAAGACAACAAGCAGACGACACGACACGTCAAGAGAGAACCCCGCGCCCTCACTGCTTCGCCCTCTTTCCCCCAGCAGCGCCCGTCGCCGCAGCCGCGTTCCCGGGGCGCTTCCCCTTGCCCTTCACCCTCGGGGACAGCGGCGCGCCGCCGGTCGCCGCAGACGGCAGCTTCTCCGCGGTGCCCTCGCCGCCCGCAGCCGGCGCTGCGCCGAGCCTCCTCAGCGCCTCGAGCTCGTCGCCCGCCCCGCGCTGAAAGCTCGCGAGGAGGTCGCCCTGGGCCGTCGGGACGTGCCGCGGTGCCAACAGCGTCGGGTTGACGAGCACGGCGTCGGGGATGAGGCTCGCGCGCGTCTCGGTCACGCCTGGCGGGCCGTGGGTCGCGTGGGCGGAGGAGGCGGACAGGGGCGCAACGGAAGAGGCCGAGAGGGACGCGAGCGAGGCGGGTGGGACAGACATGACGGGAGGATGGCGGGAAGTACCCGGGGGACGCGCAACGAGCGGAGGCTTGAACGCTGGAGGCCTGAAGGCGGTCGACCGAGGGCCGGTGGACGTTGCGGGCGCCGAGGCGGAGGGGAAGGATGCCATCGAGCGGGACGACGCAGCCGAGCCCCCCGCTGCCAGGGGCGGCCTGAAGCCCGTCGTCGCTCCGCCGCCACGGCTGTACGTCGCCAGCGCCGAGCGGAAGCCGCCCTCTCCCTCGGGCACCGTCTGCGGCTGCGACTGGGCCTGCTGCGCCGCGATCGCCGCGTTGCTCCACCTCCCCTGACTCTGGCCGTACGCGCTCGCGCCCGACCCGCCGCTGCCGTACCGCCCCTGCGAGCCGAAGCCAAAGCCGCCATACCGCCCGCTGCTGCTGCCGCCCGAGCTGCCGAACGTGCTGTAGTTGCGCGAGCCGGCCGGCGCGACTTGCGACGCGTCAAAGATGGGTGGCTCGACCGGCATAGTTGCCAAGCTGCGCGTTCGAGCGCCGATGCCTCCCGTCAGCCGACGCGGACCGTGGAGGGAGAGAACGCGAGAAAGCCCGCACTACTCGTCGATCATGCGCTTGGCCGTCTCCTCGTTCGGTGCCGGCCTCCCCAGCACCTTGGACATCTCCTCGCGCGTCTTCTGCGTCACCTTCTGCAGCTTCTTGACGAACAGGGTCGGGTACGTCGTCGATGCGGTCTGGAGGAACGGCGAGAGCTTCTTCTGCTTCATCTCGGCTGCGCGGCGGGGTGTCAGTGAGTATGCACAGGGTGGGAGCGGAGACCAGGAGCGGGAAAACGCACAGCCTGCCATGCGCGCGTTGGCGTGCGAGAGGAAGCAGAAGCCCTGTGCGCGCGTGATCGCAACGTACAGCAGGCGCCTGGACA